CACCCACGCTGGTCCAGGAAAGCAGTGGCACCTGGAGGAGTGGTGGAGAAAGAGCAGGTGACCGCGGATGGGGCCTGGCCAGCAGCCTGCTCACCGGCACTGCCTGTCCCCACAGAGGCTCCCAGCAAGCCCATCACGGTGACGGTGGAGGAGCAACGCAGCCAGAGCGTGCGCCCCGGGGCCGACGTTACCTTCATCTGCACAGCCAAGAGCAAGGTGGACAGCAGGGCACGGGCCCCCGGGTACTGCTTCTGCGGTCCCTGAGCACTCCCATGACCCCACGCCATCACCCTGTTGCCCTGCAGTCCCCGGCGTACACCCTGGTATGGACCCGCATGCACAATGGGAAACTGCCCTCCCGGGCCATGGACTTCAACGGCATCCTGACCATTCGCAACGTGCAGCCGAGCGACGCGGGCACCTACGTGTGCACGGGCTCCAACATGTTCGCCATGGACCAGGGCACGGCCACGCTGCACGTGCAGGGTATGCCTCGTCTTCGACCGCACCCACGCCCAACTCACCCCGCCCGCCATTTCTTCAGTCAGCCGATCCCTGAGCACCTCCATGGCATGCCAGGCCCTGCGTGGTCTGGGCCCCCAGGAGATAGGGGAGAGAAGGACAAACAGGGTCTCAGCTTGTCCGAACCTGCGTCCTGGGGGGAGACTGCTCGTGAGCAGAGAAGGACGGGTGGTAATGGCTGCCAGCGTAGGACGGCGGAGGGAGCAAGGAAGGAGGCTGGGCTTCCCTGGAAGAGCTGGCCAGGGAGGGTCTCCCTGAGGAGAGCTAAGCTGAGCCTGAAGGAGGAGGCACTGTGCTAGTTAGAGAGCTGGCAGGCAGTGGTCTTGCACAGGGAGCAGCGTGTGCAGCGGCCCTGGGACAGGTCAGCAGGGCCAGCCCGGAGCCGAGGGAGAGGACTGGTGAGAACTTGGAGACGGGGCCAGAGGTGAGAGCATGCAGGCTGTGGCAGGCCTGCACAGGGCACTTGGGGTTCAGAAAGTGACCAGGAGCCACAGACAGGTGTTACATGGGGAAGCGACAAGCTCTGTGATGTTTTTAAGTCCCCCAGGATGGCGGTGTGCACGTGTGGCCATGGAGGTCTGTGGGGAGGCAAGGAGGGGGTTGCAGTGGGCTGGATGACACCCCCTACCCTGATTGTGCATTTCCTCTCCTCCCACGTCAGCCTCAGGTGCCTTGTCTGTCCCCGTGGTCTCCATCCACCCCCCACAGCTCACAGTGCAGCCAGGGCAGCTGGCTGAGTTCCGCTGCAGTGCCACAGGGAACCCCACACCCATGCTCGAGTGGACAGGTGAGCCGTGCCAGAGTGGTATTCAGAGCCTTACCCGGGTAAGGGAGGGCGGGGCAGGGCCCTGGGCCTGAGGATTGCGGTTCCCAGGGCGGGAAGGGGTGGCCAGAGCTATGCCAGTCCCAGTGAGCACTGACCCCCCCTCTCCCCACCAGGGGGCCCTGGTGGCCGGCTCCCTCAGAAGGCACAGGTCCACGGTGGCATCCTGCGCCTGCCGGCTGTTGAGCCCTCAGACCAGGCCCAGTACCTGTGCCGGGCCCACAGCATCGCCGGGCAGCAGGTGGCCAGGGCTGTACTCCACGTGCACGGTGAGGAGCAGGCTGGGGCTGGGGCTGGGCACCCGCAGCCACCTGGGAGGTCCTCACATGGCTCTGTCTGCAGGGGGCAATGGGCCCCGGGTCCAGGTGAGCCCAGAGAGGACCCAGGTGCACGAGGGCCGCACCGTCAGGCTGTACTGCAGGGCTGCAGGGGTGCCCGGTGCCACCATCACCTGGAAGAAGGAGGGGGGCAGCCTTCCCCCGCAGGTGAGGAGCTCCTGTGCCACACGGCACTCACTGTGCCCGCCCACCTACTCCCCTCTGGCTCCCTTCACCCCCAACATGGTAGCCTCAGGCCAGGGACAGCTCTGCTGCCTGGCTCTCCTCCTGGGCATCCCATGAGGCCCTCTGCCGCCCTCTGCCTGCCTTCACTGCTGGTCCCTGCCTGGCTGCCCTGGGGCTGACCCCTGCTGTGTGGCAGGCCCGGTATGAGCGCACAGACATAGCCACGCTGCTCATCCCAGCCATCACTGCCGACAATGCCGGCTTCTACGTCTGCGTGGCCACCAGCCCCGCTGGCACTGCCCAGGCCCGGATCCAAGTGGTCGTCCTGCCAGGTGCGGGGCCTTTGGAGGCGGGGGAGCGGGGAGGCCGGGCCAGGGGCCCAGAGGCCTGATTCACTCCCACTCTGCCTCCAGCCTCAGGTGCCAGCACCCCGCCAGTCACAATTGAGTCCTCGTCCCCTTCGGTGACTGAAGGGCAGACGCTCGACCTCAGCTGTGTGGTGGCTGGGCCGGCCCCTGCCCAGATCACATGGTACAAGCGAGGCGGCAGCCTGCCTCCCCACGCCCAGGTAGGAGGGGCTCTGCCTGGGGAGCTTGAGCCCATCCGCCCCCACCCACGACTTCTCGATGGCTTTGTCCTAGCGCGGTAGGGAGCTGTGGACAGGTCTTACCGGGAAGCCCCAGGGAGACGCTTCACACCACCTTGTGCCCTCCTGCTAAGGGGCCCACCATCTCCATCTCCCTCTCCAGCTTCTGACCTGGGGTGGCCCCGGACAGAGCCAGCGAATTTGATGAAAGAATCCCTGGTGTTTAGAGGGAGCCGGGGCTACAGCCCCACCGCCATCCTCACTTCCCTCTGCCACCCCACCTAGGTCCATGGCGCCCGGCTGCGTCTCCCCCAGGTGTCCCCAGCCGATTCTGGAGAATACGTGTGCCGTGTGGAGAATGGATCGGGCCCCAAGGAGGCCTCCATCATCGTCTCTGTCCTACATGGTGCCCACGTGGGCCCCAACTACACCCCTGGTGAAGAGTCAGGTACGGCCGGTCAGGCCTGGGATCACTGCTCTGGTCCCAGGGAAAGTGTGTGGTCTTCTCAGTGGCATTAAGACAGAGGGGGCGGGACCAGCAGTCGGCATAATGGCTACGTTGCTGGACTTCTGTGTAGTCGACCACGGTTCGAGTCCCAGACCCAGTGGCTTAAACTCACACCGGGCACATGTGCGTGCATGCCCAAGATCCCAAGAGGAGAATGGAGGAGAAGGGGTTGTGGCGTGGCCATCCCCCCGGGGGTGATTTCTCGCTTTCTTTCTCTCTGTCTCTGTCTTTCTGGCGAGCGCACACGCCCTATAGCAAAAAAATAAATAAATGAAAAGACAGAGGGGGCGTTCCAGGCAGGCACTGACCTCCCACTGCCTGGAGACAGAGCCTGGAAGTAAGGCTGGCCAGCTTACCTGGGCCCCAGTGAGGCCGCTGATTTGGATGTGTCGAGAAGCAGCAGAAGGTCATGGCTGGACACTGAGTTAGGAGTCAGGCTGACATCCTTAGACTGGTTGGTTTGCCTCTGGGGACCTGTTTCCTCGTCCGTGAAACGGGACACCACCCACTGCTGGCTCACAGTGTGGTTTACATGAGGTGGTGTCGGTGGGAAGGACTTGGGAACGCCTGGTCGGCTCGGTAAAAGGGCTCTGGTTCTGGGTCATCGTGGTCTGCAGCCTGGGGCCCAGCCCCGGCTCCCTGTTGGCCAGAGCAGCCTGTCCTCAGGCAGTCGGGTGGGGGCCGGTGGGCCGAAGTGCTGTGTTAGCGGTGGGAGCTCTTACACTCGCCTGGCTGTGCCCGGGCTGAAGAGTGTGGTCCCAGCCCTAGGAAGGCTTTCTGTGTGCCCAAGCTGGGGCTCAGGCACTCCGAGGACCTCTGTGTGAGGACCACAGCCTGGTGAGGCTCAGGAGCCCAGGCCTCTGACCAGCCCCTCTGCGCCCAGCCCCTGGCAGCTCCCAGTCCATCCGCATCGAGTCCTCCTCCTCCCACGTGGCCGAAGGGCAGACCCTGGATCTGACCTGTGTGGTGCCTGGGCAGGCCCACGCCCAGGTCACGTGGTACAAGCGTGGGGGCAGCCTCCCGGCCCGGCACCAGGTACAGCAGCCCCCAGGGCCAGCCTCAGAGGGGTGGGCCAGGACTGCTCTGGTCCCTTCCCAACCTGCCCTGCTTGCACACAGACCCACGGCCCGCTGCTGCGGCTACACCAGGTGTCCCCTGCTGACTCGGGCGAGTACGTGTGCCGCGTGATCCTCGGCTCCAAACCCCTGGAGACGTCTGTCCTGGTCACCATTGAGGCCTCTGGCTCCCTCCCCGGTGAGCTGCTCTCAGCAATGTGGCACGGAGAAGCCCAAGGGCCTTCCGAGGGGCTGCGATCTAAGTCCTCCTGTTGTGACAGGGCAGGTGGCCAAAGGCCAGCCCTGTCCAGGCAGACTCCACATGGCTGAGGGAGCCGCCATCGTCCCATTGCCCCTCCCTCTAGCCATGTCACTCCCCAGCCTTCCCCTCCTCACCTGGCTACACTCATCTCTGCATCTCCTCTCTCCCCGGCGAGGCTCGGCCCCTTCCTGGCCACTCCATCAGGGTGCTGAGCTGGGGACATCAAGCACCCCCCCAGGCGTGGGCCTGACCTGGGGACACAACCTTACCCTTACTTAGAGGGACATCTACTACCCTCACCCCTGTCCCAGCAGCCCCAGGACCTGTCCCACCTGTCAGGATCGAGTCCTCATCTTCCACAGTGACCGAGGGGCAGACCCTGGATTTGAACTGCGTGGTGGCTGGGCAGGCTCATGCCCAGGTCACGTGGTACAAGCGTGGGGGCAGCCTTCCCCCCCGGCACCAGGTACACGCACCCAGGATGAGGAGGGGCTGTGGACAGTGGGTTGCAGGGTCTGGGCCCCTGGGCTGATGAATGAGCAGTTCCCAGCTCAGGGTAGGTGGGGACTGGGCTCCAGGAGGCACCCCTTGACACCCCTGCCCACGGCTGCCCAGGTCCGCGGCTCCCGCCTGTACATCTTCCAGGCCTCCCCAGCTGATGCAGGAGAGTATGTCTGCAGGGCCAGTGATGGGGTCGAGGCCTCCCTCACGGTCACAGTCCTCAGGACCCATGGCGCCAACTTTGCCTACCGTGAGTGGACGGCCAGGGCAGCTGGGGTGCGGAAAGGGGATAGGCTGGGTGACTTCAGAGAACTACAGTGACCAATGACTGTCATACCCCACAGCCCCTGGTGGCACCCAGCTCATCCGCATCGAGTCCTCCTCCTCCCAAGTGGCTGAAGGGCAGACCCTGGATCTGAACTGCGTGGTGCCCGGACAGGCCCATGCCCAGGTCACGTGGCACAAGCGCGGCGGCAGCCTCCCTGCCCGGCACCAGGTGTGAGATTAAAGGGAGGTCCCTGGGGGTGGAGTCGGGTGGGGAGGGCTGGAAGCTCTTGTGAGACACCCACCATGCAGGGGTGCAGTGCAGTGGTAGGGACTCAGGTCCCCACCAGCCAGCCTGGCTGTGCATCCTGGTTCCGCCACTTCCTGGCCCATGCTTCGGGCAAGTTACTGACCCCTCTGCGTCGTCGTAGCTTCGTCGTCTCCGAAAAGGTCCTAGCCGCGGCTGCCTTACAGGATTAGCCCAAGGTTGAAGGGAATACTCGGGAGCTCAGGAAGTGCTGTGAGCTCTTATTGCCGTAAGACTATCAGCTATTACTGTACTTCCTAGAACTCAGGCCCGTGGCCTGGCGGCTAAGGCAACTGGATCTCACAACTGCATGGTTCGAGTCCCGGACCCAGTGGCTTCAGAAACCCATCAGACACATGTGCATGTGTGCCCAAAATCTGGAGAAGGGATTGTAGTGTGATCATCTCCCCTGGAGCTGGAGGGTGCTTTCTCGCTTTCCTTCCATCTCTCACTGGAAAGGGCACACACACCCTGGCAAAAAAATTTTTTTGGAGAGGTTTTTGCTATAGGGCGCGTGCGCTCGCCAGACAGACAGACAGAGACAGAGAGACAGAAAGCGAGAAATCACCCCCCAGGGGGGATGGTCACGCTGCAATCCCTTCTCCTCCATTCTCCTCTCAGGATCTTGGGCACGCACGCACACGTGCCCAACATGAGTTTTAAACCACCAGGTCCAGGACACAAACTGCGATCGACTACATGGGAGTCCAGCAACATAGCCATTACACTAACTGCTGGCCCCTCTGGCAAATTTTTTTAAAAACTGAATTTAGGGGGCCATAAAGTGGCATGGTGATTAAGGCACTGGATTTCCACATGCAACCATGATTTGAGTCCCAGATCCTGCAGCTTGAAAATTGCCCTGGATATGTGTGTGTGTGTGCCCCAAATCCCCGAAAAGCGAACAGAAGAGAAGGGATTGCAGTGTGGCCACTCCTCCCTGGGGGGTGGTTTCTCACTTTCCCTCTCTCTGTCTCTCTCCAGCAAGTGCATGTAACTTATGGCAAAAAAACTAAATTGAAATTTTTAAAAAAGAATCGCTGGCAGGTGGCATGGCGGTTAGGGTGCTGGACTCCCACATGGCAGACCACGGTTCAAGTCGCAGAACTGGGGCTTGCTTTCTCACTTTCTTTCTCTCTCTCTCTGTCTCTCCAGTCAAAACTGAAAAATGATAATAATAAAAAAAATTAAGTATTTTAAAGAAAAAGAAAGAATGGAGGACACTACTGATCAGTTGCAAGGTAGACCATTATCTTCTGTACTTCTAAGGAAGAGAAGCTTCCATTACCATAGGAAGGCTTCCGTGGTCGATGCGTCTTGGTCTCAGGCGTGTGCACATGTCACAGCGGGAGGAATACAGCACTAGTGTGTGCTCCTCCTGTCCCCTGACACCGCGGATGAGCTCCCCTGTCCCCACCTCTGAGCAGGACAGGGAAACTGGCCCAGGGCTGGTGGCCAGGCTCCAGAGGTCAGAAAGGCAGGAAGAGTTACAGGTTACAGGTGAAAGGGCCCCCAAGGGCTCTCTCTCTGACCTCACCCCATGCTGGCCAGACCCACGGCTCCCTGCTGAGACTCCACCAGGTGTCCCCTGCTGACTCGGGCGAGTACATGTGCCGTGTGGTGGGTGGCTCCGTGCCCCTGGAGGCGTCTGTCCTGGTCACCATCGAACCTGCGGGCTCTGGGCCTGGTGAGTATCCTAGGGTTGATGGGGCGGGCCAGCCCGGAGAGGTTCCCTACCCCAGCAGTGGCAGGACCAGGAGTCCAAGCCTCAGACGGCACCTCCCAGGAGACCAGTGGCCCCCCAGGCACCGTCTTCTCACCCCTGTTCTCCATCCCCAGCACTCGGGGTCACCCCTCCAGTCCGGATCGAGACCTCCTCCTCACATGTGGCTGAAGGGCAGACCCTGGATCTGAACTGCCTGGTTACTGGGCAGGCCCACGCCCAGGTCACGTGGCACAAGCGTGGGGGCAGTCTCCCGGCCCGGCACCAGGTAAGAGGTGGGGTGAGGAGGGCCCGAAGGGGCTCATAAATGGGGAACGAGCACAGGCTTGGGCCGGCAGATTCAAGTGCAGGCGCTGCTCTGCCGCTTGTCTGCTGTGTGACCTCAGGCCTGTCACCTGACTGCCCAGCCCTCAGTGTCCTCTGTCAAATGGGCTCGCACGCTGCCTACCTCACACACCTGAGGCACGTTAGCGGATGTGGGTCTCCCACTTTCCCACATACTCCCTGGTACAGGTCAGCTGGCAGGCTGGACCTGGTCCCAGTGCTGGGGCAGGAGAATTAAAAGGTGGGGAGGGGGCTCTCCCTGGAGGAGCCTGCGTCCATCTCTAGCTGGCCGGGCCGGG